TGGTTGATGTCAAATTACGGTGGCGGTATCCCACCGACTAAAATAGTTTATTAAGAATCATGCTGGCGGTATGCCTCGAAAATATTGTGCGGGGCGGTATGCCGCCGACTTATTGTTGAAAATAAGTTACATGGGGCCCGCGCGGGGCAATAATAATTACTAAGTAAAGTATTTCTTCAGGATTGCGATTGTTCTAGGAATTCTCTCAAGTGCCCGTTGTGGACAAGTCTTCCGAGCGCTCGCATAAGCTGAAAACACTCCTCAGTAGTGTGACCCCGATCTCTGTGGTATTCACAGTAATTATCCAAATTTTGTTGTTCTGGATTCTCCTTCATCCATCTCGGTGGTTGTAGAATTCATTTATGTTCTATGATGATCATTATGTCAACAAGCTTATCCTTGAGAGGTGAGAACTTCTCGAAGGTGCGATTTTTGGCGGGACGTCTCTCTTCTTTTCTATTATAGTTGTGGATTCCCTCATTGCGCTTTTGCTTAAGGAGTACCCTAATTTCTGCAGTCTCCTCAGTCTGAATGTACTTCTCAGTGCGACTCGGGAGCTCCTCTAGGGTCATAGGGGGTCGGCCTGCGATGTACTCTTGAAAACGAACATGCTTCAAATTGTATTGCAGTATGCCGGTTAACATTTCGTGATTAAGGAACGACACTTCATGTACTGCTTTGACAAGTCGTTGCAGGTAATTCATGAGCGACTCTTCGTCCCGCTGTATGACCTTGAAGAGATACGACCAGTTTTGGCGTATTTCTTGCTTATAGAGTATTGGTGACGGAAAATCGTCGCTAGTTGGTCCAGGTTGTCTATGGAGGATCCGGGCAAGCCGTTGAACCAAATTTATACCTGATCAGCTTGGTGGTCCGAAAAATCTTGCAGTGAGCTGCGTTACTAAGACCGTAGAGGTCAATCTTGGCGTAAAAATTATTCAAGTGATCTCGGGGATCCCCAATTTTATCGAATTGGGAGATATTGGGATCCTGAATCCGAGAAGCAACACTTCTTCCATAATAGCATGAGCAAATGGGTATTTCGAATGGACAATGCCCCAAAGTGAGCGGCCGTCGACCTCGAGACTTCTCGTCGAGGACTCCTTGAGTTGTAGTCGTCGGAGCCTGCTCGATGCCTTCTTGTCTCCTGGTGTCGGGAAGCTCTACTTCCGAGTTGGTTTCGAGGGGAGTTTTAGTGGGGGTGCGCATGTTCGCGGTGTCCCCCGCCTCGAGGCCTTTGACGATAGTCATACGACTGGGAATAACCGCTTCTCGTCCGACGGCTTTGCTTCGCTTTTCCTTTAAGGGGCTCAGGCTCTTTGCCTTAGTGGACGCTGTGATTAGCGACGAGTTTCCCTTCGAGGCACGCGGTGTGAGGATGTGCTACGCTGAGGCGAGTGGCGGTGAACGCGCCTTCTGAGGATGTGCTACGCTGAGGCGAGTGGTGGTGAGCGTATCTTCAAGGCGCGCGGTCTGAAGATGTGCTACGCTGAGGCGAGTGGTGGTGAGCGTATCTTCGAGGCGCGCGGTCTGAGGATGTGCTACGCTGAGGCGGGTGGTGGTGAGCGTTTCTTCGAGGAACCTGTTCGGAGGAATAACTTTGGCCGTTGAGCAATACTCTTTACTCTGAGACATGGAGCTCCAAGATTGGCGGAGTGGTACGGACATGCACGAAATCCGTAGGATCGCTTCCCATATGAATATTTTCTTCAAAGTCAGTTGTGCTTTGAGCATTGATATACTGAGCTACAACGTCTGTTGCTGCCCAAACTGCTACTTTGGCCACCGTCTTCTCCATTAAGGCTTGTAACTCCTCTGCAATCATCTAGATGACCGACACTGAAGATCCTGCAAGGTTGGCCGCTCCAATTGTTCTCTTCCTTCAAGGTGGTTCTATGACTCATGCGCTACCTTGAAGCGGTTGTTTGAGATTTCCTTGACCACCTTCATTGGTCGCTCCCGTAGATATTTTCCTTCGAGGCAGCTCTGAGACTCCACCGCTACCTTGAAGCGATTAGTTGAGATCGCCTTGACCCTTTTCGTTGGACGGTCCCGTAGTTATTTTGCTTCGAGGCGGCTCTTCCTTCGAGGCAGCTCTGAGACTCCACCGCTACCTTGAAGCGAGTGGTTGGGATCGCCTTGATCCTCTTCGTTGGCCGCTCCCGTAGTTCTTTTGCATCGAGGCAGCTCTGAGACTCCACCGCTACTTTGAAGCGAGTGGTTGGGATCGCCTTGATCCTCTTCGTTGTCCGCTCCCGTAGTTCTTTCGCTTCGAGGCGTCTCTTCCTTCGAGGCAGCTCTGAGACTCCACCGCTACCTTGAAGCGAGTGGTTGGGATCGCCTTGATCCTCTTCGTTGGCCTCTCTCGTAGTTCTTTTGGTTCGAGGCGGTTCTAAGACTCTACCGCTCTTCGAGGCGGCTCTGAGACTCCGTCGCTTCCTCGAGGCGGCTCTAAGACTCTTCTGCTACCTTGAGGCGGCTCTGAGACTCCGTCGCTTCCTCGAGGCGGCTCTGATACTCCGTCGCTTCCTCAAGGAAGCTGGTTGAGATCGCCTTGACCTCTTTGTTGGCCGCTCTCGTAGTTCTTTTGCTTCGAGGCGGCTCTAAGACTCTACCACTCCTCGGGGCGGCTCTGAGACTCCGTCGCTTCCTCGAGGCGGCTCTGATACTCCGTCGCTTCCTCAAGGAAGCTGGTTGAGATCGCCTTGACCTCTTTGTTGGCCGCTCTCGTAGTTCTTTTGCTTCGAGGCGGCTCTAAGACTCTACCACTCCTCGGGGCGGCTCTGAGACTCCGTCGCTTCCTCGAGGCGGCTCTGATACTCCGTCGCTTCCTCAAGGAAGCTGGTTGAGATCGCCTTGACCTCTTTGTTGGCCGCTCTCGTAGTTCTTTTGCTTCGAGGCGGCTCTAAGACTCTACCACTCCTCGGGGCGGCTCTGAGACTCCGTCGCTTCCTCGAGGCGGCTCAAAGACTCTTCCGCTCTTCGAGGTGGCTCTGAGACTCCGTCGCTGCCTCGAGGCGGCTCTAAGACTCTTCCGCTCCTCGGGACGGCTCTGAGACTCCGTCGCTTCCTCGAGGCGGGCGGCTCTAACACTCTTCCGCTCTTCGAGGCGGCTCTGAGACTCCGTCGCTTCCTCGAGGCGGGCGGCTCTAATAAGACTCTTCCGCTCTTCGGGGCGCTCTGAGACTCCGTCGCTTCCTCGAGGCGGGCG